GCTACTCTACACTGCTCAAAACTCGCGTTTGAATCATCAGTGGCAAATCCTTTAAATGAAAACGTACTTGCGTGAGTCAGAACTGCCGGCATTTTAGTCTAACGTTACTCTCCCAGGATCAGGAGACAGTCCTCCATAAAATGTGCTGCACACATCTGAATATTTGGGTTGAAGTGTTCTGGAACAGTGTTGTAAATACCACTTAACCACTGATTTGTAGTCGTGTCCTCTTTTGGAAGATCAAACAAAGTAGTTTCGCTTTCACAATGAAAAACACAGCGGCCTAGCGTGAGGGGAGGCCGGGATAGAGTGAGCTGAGGCTGCGAGATCGAGAACGGCTGAACTCTGCTTCGTCCACGGTGAAAGTTTATGTATTTCCTCAGCGACCAGCACGGATCAGCTCCAGGCATGACGAAGCGGATATCGTCCTCTTTTGGAAGGCCAAACAAAGTAGTTTCGCTTTCACAACGAAACACAGCGCCTTCACGACATGGCGGCGGCAGCAACAATACTACAGCAAGAATAAAAGTTACGCCTTCTTTCTTTGCGTGAACATTTGGGCGGCGTTATGCAAATCTTCCCACATAGTGACGTAGACATGTGGGGGCGTGTTAGAACGAGCCGTTTTAGGAGGGCGTGGCTGACTCTGAACTTTTATAAAGAATATCTCTTTGGATTTGAGACTTTAGTCTTTGCAACTTTACAGATCTTCTTTATGCACCAAGAGCTTGTAACACTCCAAAGAGAAAGGAAAAATTTAAATCGCATCAAATGCATTAAAGGGGTCTCTGTATGCTTACAAAGACTGCATTTATTTCCAAAAATACAACTGCTTTCTATGTGATTACATTTTAAAATGTAATTTATTGCTGTGATCAAAGCTGAATTTCCAGCATCATTACTCCAGTCTTCAGTGTCACATGGATCCTTCAGAAATCGTTCTAATATGCTGATTTGCTGCTGGAAATGAGAAGTAACAAGGGAGCACAGCTCTGCCAGCACAGCAGAGAGATCGATTATAAATGTGATTTACGTTAAGAATTGTAAGTGTCTTTTCTGCTAGCTAACCTGTTGCGTTGGACTGTTCAAGTCATATCCAAATATCTCCCAAAAAAGTGAGAAATTTAATTACTATCACAAATAAAGTTGAAAATCCACAGAATCACATTAAAGTAAAATCTGCTTGCGAGCTAATCAAGGCCATCTAGAAGTACAAGCAGCTTGTTGTAGCGCCTGATTCACACAGCTGTTTTGTTAAACATCAAATATGTTCTGGCTGTGATTGGGCTGTAACTCACAGCATTTTCACTTTCAGTTTTTACGTTGTTCCTGCTTAGTACGCAATGTGACAATTACAGTAAGCATTACATGTGACCGGTCCATTGCAAGAAGATCTAGTCCTGACATGTACATGAGGTTGGTCTGTGTGTGTTGAGCAGACATGCAGTGAACAGTTACAGTTGGATGCTGTATTGATCAATCAGCATCCAGGAGTGCCATTCATGTTTTTAATATCCTTATTTCTCATTAGCAGAATTTAATGGGTGTGAAACCCTCTGCTATGTGGTGGTCATTAGTTTGTGAGGGGTTGTGACAGGCAGTTTGATGAGGTTTCTTTCATTTCTAGTGATGTTTGTTTAGGTTTTTCTTCTGCATGTGTTTGTGTCGCAGGTCTCTGGATTTCTGCTGTGACGCATGCAGCAACTGTATGCGCTCCGCTCTGCTAGCGCTCTCTCCTGACAGTGACCCGCGACCTGTTGACCCTCAGGCACACAGACTGGCACAGCAGATCAACTTCAAGGTCAGACTCATTTATGATCAAAACATCAAAAAATATTATGTTTATAAAGATCATTAAGGCAAGACATCGCTGGTGAATAGGGTAAAAATGAAAAAATCAACCTTTGTTGATTGATTACATTAACCCTTGTGTCTAAACTTAAAATATCATAAGATTATACATTGCTGTTGTGATTGTTATTTAAATTCACTTGGCCTTTTTTCAGCAAAGGAAGAAAACAGGAAGAAAGTGAGCATTTGCTCCATAGGCATATTATGAAAGCATATCAACTAGGTATGCATACGCTAAAATGGAACTTTTTAAATTCCATTTCTAAATTTAATGGGTTTCAGTGGGGGACATTTTTTCATTTTTGTCCTGAAGGTCCTGGGTGTAACTGTTTTTTAGTGTCTAGTGTTAAATCTAATAAAAAAAACATTTGGCAAAATTTATGCTGTTTGCATTAACATGGTTAAAATGATCTCAACACGATGATGTATATATATACAGTCGTGGTCAGAATTATTGGCACCCTTGGTAAATATGATCAAAGAAGGCTGTGAAAATAAATCTGCATTGTTAATCATTTTGATCTTGAATTCACATAAATCTAACCTTTCATTGGAGAATAAGAATTTAAATGGGGGGGATATCATTATGACAAATGTTTTTCTCTAATACACATTGGACACAATTAATGGCACCCTTTTATTCAATACTTTTTGAAACCTCCATTTGGCATAATAACAGCTCTGAGTTTTCTCCTATAATGCCTGATGGGGTTAGAGAGCACCTGACAAGAGATCAGAGACCATTCCTTCATCCAGAATCACTCCAGACCCTTCAGATTTCCAGCTCCATGATGGTGCTTCTCCTCTTCAGTTCACCACACTCATCTTCTCTAGGGTTCAGGTCAGAGGACTGGAATGGCCATAGCAGAAGCTTGGTTTTGTGCCCAGTGACCCATTTTTGTGTTGTTTTTGAGGTTTGTGTTTGGATTTATGTACGGTTGGAAGATCCAAACATGGCCCATTATAAGATTTCTAATGGAGTCAGTCACTTTTAGATTTTTTTTATCTGTTGGTATTTGATAGAATC